GTTTATTAGTTTGGTTCGATTTATAAATTTAAAAATTTGACACAATGACTTGATTTGGTATTTGAAAAACTCGAATCAACCCGAGGTTGAAAAACCTGAAAAAATCCGAATTTTATTAGTTTGGTTTGATTTATAAATTTAAAAATTTCACAAATGATTTGATTTGATATTTGAAAAACCCAAATCAACCCGATCATATACACCCCTACATAGCACTAATGTCACATCTGCACATATGCATAAATAATACATATTTTTACTCAATGTAACAACATTGCACATAGAACGAATAAAATTAATGACAAAGGCTAATAATTAAGTTTTTACCTCTCTATTGCATCAGTGTAAGACACAAGTTCGTCATAAGTTGGATAAGCATCATAGAGATCATCAGTGATGGTAATAATAACAATTAATTTTGTTATCATTCTTCTTGCACATTTATATTGAGGCCCAAAATACACCCCCATTGCCCAAAAATAACATTCCACCAATTTGTCTCTTGCATATGGATATTTGTTTGAATGATCCAAATTTTTCCACCACCTATATATGTATATTATACGTATAAGATACCATACAATCGAAGAATATATACCTTATAAGTTCGCTAAGCTCTCTTTGGTACATCTTTTGCAAAATGTGGAAATCTAATTTTGCAAATTTCAAAAGCAAATCATCATGTGATTCAATGGTCTCGTAAATACGTGTAAATACGTATGTATTACGAGCTACCATTCTTGGTACATTTGTATGAATGGGTTGGATCAAGGCTTCACTAACTTGGGCCTTCAGTGAGAAGTCCAATTTAGGGTCCATAGACTCGAGATGAATGATGGTAAAAGTTTGAGCTTCTTCAAGAATTTCTTCTCTGTGTACTCTTAGATGTGCTGCTTCATATAAACTTAATAATCCTTGAACATCTTTAGCAAGAGTTTCCTTGAATTTTCCATCACCATTGGTGAATTTTTTAAACACATCTGATAATTAATTATCGGATATTAAACTAGTGAATGGAAGTATATATAAGCTAAGGGGTCAACATTTTATACTTTTGAACAGAAAGAAATTAGTAATTAACATTAATAAGTTGCATAGGATAATTAGAGAAGAGATACGATACCAGAAGACATGCTATGCCTTTGTCGTCTCACTAGTCGAAAATGAAGAGCAACAACGCAGAGATCATCGTCTTCATCTTCATTTTTATTCTGTTCAGACTTATCAAAAATATTCTGAATGGATATTTTGATCTCATTGTCGAAATGATATGCCACTCCCAATCGTTGGATTGCATCAACCAAAGACAAGTTTTTCTTACTATTATCAGGAGTTTCCACTAACATTTGCCAGACTTTTTCTTTCAACTCTTCAAGTTCAAGTTTTTCTTGGCTACTAATTTCCTGCATGCACCAAATGTTAAGGGTTATTGTTCTACTTTCGTAGATGGGATCTGGAGAGGGCAGTGTGTATCGTATCCCTACCTCATGGAGGCCGTAGAGACACTGTTTAATTTCTGAAAAATCATCAGATCAAGTAATGCAAATCTTAGAATAATAGACTACGAGACAGTGACGTAGCCACATATAGCCTAGGGTGGTCAATCGGACACCCTTCGTCAAAACAATATATTATATATATATAAAACTGTATGAAATATATTGGTCAAAAATTATTTGTCATACATATATATCAATTTGAACACCTTTAACGAAATTTTTGATTTCAGCACTGCAGTATGAGAATAATGCTAGCTACTGTGACTACTGATATGAACAAAGAAACAAATACGATACACCAAACTACCACCAAACCTATCTCACAGGAAAAAAAAAACTAGAGATATATGAGTGCATTCATGTGTACATAACATACTGTGAGTTGAGTGTAGGAGAGAAAACAGTTTCCCCAATAATAACGATTAATTTTGTTAACGTTCTTCTTGCACGTTTGTATTGTGGCCCAAAATACACCCCTGTTGCCCAAAAATAGCATTCCACCAATTTGTCTCTTGCATATGGATAATTGTTTTCATAATCCAGATCTTTCCACCACCTATATATTTATTTACATATAATATCTATAATATATTAATTACATGATGTAGATATATACCATATTCATGTGATTAATTAAAGTGGATACATGCATACATACCTTGTAAGTTCACTAAGCTCTCTTTGGTGCATCTTTTGCAAAATGTGGAAATCTAATTTTGCAAATTTCAAAAGCAAATCATCATGTGATTCAATGGTCTCGTAAATACGTGTAAATACGTATGTATTACGAGCTACCATTCTTGGTACATTTGTATGAATGGGTTGGATCAAGGC